TTAGAGATTCAGACCATCGCATCCCCTGGAAAGTCCGTTTCAACCTGGGCAACAGCAGCCGACAGATCACCCAGTGCAGAAACTCCATCCAGGGCAAGACACTGCTCACAGATGAACTTGGTTAGTGATGCTGTCATTATTCACCAGCATATTATGATGATAACACAACAGCTACTTATGTGGGACTGTTTTTATCAATGTATTTTCTTATCTGTCTTAATGTCTTACAGGTTATGTCTGCGAGAGAAAAGACCTGCTAGTTAATGGCTGCTGTAACGTCAATGCTCCCAGCACCAGACAGTACATCTGTAAAAGCTGCCTGGCCAACGGCTGCTGTAGCATCTACGAGTACTGTGTGTCTTGCTGCCTGCAACCCGATAAGGTTATCAGCCACATCAAGGATGTTCAAGGGCCTGGGTCATTACATTATCAGAAGTTCAACTGTTAACATGTTGCGTCTTGCATGACTGCTGCATGCATAGCTACATTTTAATAAAATCAGATATTGCAAGTCCCAAAGTTGAATATTGATACTGTGGTCTGTATATGGCAGTGATTATGAGGGGGCTAAAGCAGAAATTACACTGATCAAAATCTGCACTTTGCTTTACACATGTTCTCCCTTATCTTTTTTAGCAACCCCTCCTCGAGCGTTTCCTGAATCGTGCAGCTGAAGGCTTCCAGAATCTATTCACTGCCGTGGAGGATCATTTTGAGTTGTGCTTGGCCAAGTGTCGCACCTCTTCACAAGTATGTTAAAGGACAAATAAAAATAAAAATGATCTGTCAGACCAACTCTTCTAACGTTTGTTAAGTAGTCATTTTGAAACACAGCATGAAAATGGATGTCTCACAGATTAGCATCTACACCATCCACCTATCTCTCAACAATTAACGTCAATATTTTTGCTGTCACAGCCAGACAGAACACATGAAAAGCTTTTTATGTATCAATATGACTCTTGCAGTTGTCTTCTGAATTTCCTGAATGTTAAAAACTGGCAAGAGCAAATTTTGGTTGTTTTATTTTATAGCTACATTAATTTTACAGAAATTAGAATATATGGTCACATTTACTCTGCGCTTGCTTTAACCTTTGCTCTCCTCAGTAGTAATTGCTTACAAAACTTAGTTTTTATAGTCACTTACTTTCAATAAGAGCATCAGACAAATTCCAAAAATAAACGTTTTATGGTTTCTGGAGTTTTGTTTGTTTGTATGTATGTTTTAATTTTTACATTCCTGGCTTGCCTTTAAAAATCAATTACCTATCGACATTCAGTGCACTACACTGTTTTAGTCGAAACAAGCTTCACACTCATTTCCTTTGGAAAAATGCATATTTGTTATAGCAAGGACAAAAATTGGAATTTATTAACTTGTTTATTTATTTTTTTCTCTTGTGCAGAGTGTTCAACATGAGAACACTTACCGAAACCCTCAAGCAAAGTACTGCTATGGAGAGAGTCCTCCTGAGCTCCTTCCTGTGTGAACGCTTGACTTTCCTCTTGGGTTTAGGAGGTAAAGGAACAGTGGTGGACCAGTAAAGCATTTTGCTTGGACACCTAAGGGTGCTTGGAGCAGAAAGACTATAAATGAACTGCTTTCTTGGACAGTTTTGCATTATAGTGACCGAGAGATGAAGACATCCAAGACCGACCTCAACAATGGACAAATGCTGTATGTGATTTGATTATTTACACTTCATAAGTGCATTGACTGCTGCATACATTCATCCATGATGATCATCAGGTCTACGTAGCAGGCAGCTCATCCACTAGGATTCATTTCAGACCAGTTCATGTCATCAGATAGGCTTTATTTTAAAAGAAGGTAACAGCTGTTTTGTTAAATGTTTTAAAACAGCAAATGTGTCATTACTTCTGCATATAGGGCATGCATGTGAAACGGCTATTTAATAAAAGTTACTGTGAAACAAAAATGGGTTATAGTTTATGCTTTTGATGAATGGTAGCATTTAGAATTTCTTTAAGTGTGGCTGTTACATTTTCATGAACTGTCAGGTTACAGGTGTAATGGGCAGTTTTATATCTGTTTATCAAAAATACTAAAAATCATTTTAAGCATGCTAATAATGTTAAAGCTACCAAAGGCCCATAGAAAATGTAATTTAATTTTTGATACAGAAAATGTTTCTGTTTAAAGTAGCAGAGAAACTAATGAAGCAAGGCAAGTGATTTTATTGTACTGGGCAGAATGAGTATACACATTATATTAATGGTAATGGTGCACAAATCGAAGGTCCAATTAAAGTGTTAAAAAGGTTGTTTCAGAAAAGACAAAAATACATTTGAGCTGAACAGTTTTGGTCACAACATGCTATGAAACTAATTAAAATAATTAGATTTTTTTTTTAAGGATACAATGTAAAATTGCAGGAACTTCGCTGATTATGACGTCTAATTCAAAGCTCATCCAGAACAAAATGCTGGAAGCTCAAATGGAATATTAATTGATTGCTTCATTTGATGAGGACAAGACCCACATTAATCTTTGTTACAGTGTTGTTGTTCTCCTACATTGCTTTGATTGGAGTCTGACAGACTTCTCATGTCTTACTGTGCACTGTCCATCTGTCCACAGATTTCACTGTGGAATACAGTGATTGGTGTCAAAAGTGGTGGCTCTCTCAAGGTGATCAGCTTCTCTTTTACCTTCGCCAGCACAGCCCACTCACAAGGGATGTATGGCCGGAGCAAAACAATTAATCATTCTGAAGGCTGGAAAAACATACAGTGATAATTAGGAAATGTATAAGAGCCCCTTCTCATTTACCAAATTGGCAAGTTGATTAATTACCATCACACAGAATAATGTCAATTGTTTCAAAGTATCACATTTATTTGAACAAAGCCATTACAGATATAGCATCTGTATACATAATATAACATTTTGGACATTACATATTTGCTTTAACACTGAAAATGAGATGAAAAGCCTGATACCACTCATATATGTAAAGTAATTCTGCAACTACTGTTAGTATTCAGTTACAGTAGCCTAGCTTAGTTTAGCAAACTGGAAAGGGGGAGCCATATGGGTTCTGTCCAAAAGGAACAAAAGCTGCCTACTGGCACCTGCAAAGCTATAGTATGATATAGCTCATCTGTCAAGTTCAAGAAATTGACTAGGATGTAACCATCCATAAAATTGCAGTTTGACGTTTTACACCTTGGTTTTACAGATGAACAAATTAGACATGATGTGTTAACTAGTGAGCTTTGTAGGTGCTGGTACTCTGCTCTCAGACATGTCAGGTTATTATGCTAAGCTAAGCTAACTGGCATATTTGCCTAACAGATTTAAGGTCATTTCCTGTCAGCTCCTGCTTCATATTT